ACGGCGCAACACTACACACCTTCCCTCTCCAGTTAACAATCAAATGGACTCTTCAGGGTTATGCTGCTGTCCCGAACAGTGATGCTTTGGTAATAGGACAATTTGCCAAGGCATTAATGTTCAGGACAGCATTCTTCACTTCACCCACTCTGTCCACGGCTTCGTCCAAGATGTATAAAACCAGCAAATTTAAGAACGAAGTATTACACGAGCACGAAGTGAAACACTTCCTTCTTAAATTTCTAGTTTTCTAGGTTTTGCACTTTGTGATGCAGTTAAGAAAATGTTGAAGGTTCTCTAAGTCACAGCTAACCACCTTATTTGGAGTCCGGACAAACATATATCGCTTTAGAGTGTCATCATGTATAATTTTGTTTTCTTTGGGTTAAAACTTTTTTATCCTATCTATTTCCATGGTTAGGCCACATTCGAGACCTTTTGGTTTTGTACCTTTGCAAGAAGTATGGTCTTAACCATAACCATGCCATTAGTCCTCGAAAAACAAATTGCGGATACCAGATGCAAAGAGTAAACTTTCTGCATAAACTTCATTTAGTCGGTAAGTCGCCCTAAAATCTCACATGTGTCAAATATCTGCCTAATACACCCATAATATGGCCTATATTTATCAAAGTTACAAAGCATCGAATCGATGTATCATTAAAAATCACACTAAAAGAGATACATTTGTAAAATTATGGTGAAGTAGCACGAATAGTAAAAGAAGATACGTTGCATACTGCTTTAAGATTTACATTTGTTTTAGACAGTTAAACAATTTATTATGCCATGGCCGTAAAACAGCATTTCTACACGCCAATATTTTATTAATTCCACTAATTTCTTTTTTTATGTTGTCCTGTTTTTATGTCAATCTGTTATTCAACAATAAGCCATCCCTTTTTCTGATAATTAATTAATGCTGTATCTGGAGTTTATTGGGTAGTTAAAGAGTCTAGCTTTATCTGATTACGCTAGGCAAGCAAATCTTTTAGGGAGATTAGCGACACCTTGTCTCTTAAGTCTATTATACCAAGTTCCGGGGCCAGATCATTTCTATGACTTATCGGTCTGCTCTGGTTAAATAAAATATATTTATTTTCAAATATATTATGGATAAGAATAAGAATATCATTTATTTTTTAGTATATGATGCACAAGCGCGGTATGCATACATGCGGCAGGGCTGCGGCCTCAGCTTATTGTCGTTCCTATAAATTAGGTAAGTACCTACCTACAATTCGCAATAACTCAAATCGAAATTGAACAGCTAACTACGAACGTTTTTTACAAGTAAAAAGTTCTGAAATGTTATGTTGCACGCTTGCGTTTATTTCCTGAACCGCATAATGTAAAAGACAAAATTCTTGTTGAATTGTGCATGTTATACTTATTATACTATGATTAATTATGATTCAAACAAAGCTCATTTTATTAAATTAATTAATGCTGTTTCAATCAAACTAATTATCCGCAGTTGGTGAAAATAGAATTTTGACTAGAAGGTTATTTGATTTTGAGAAGGATGAACATATTAAAGCAATGGCATAAATTACTTGTTGAAGCACAAAAAATAAAGGTTTATTTATATTTGTTGTTTTTTGTTTTCTTAAGTTTTGACCTATGCCAATAAAATTAAAGTGGGGAACAGAATCATATACGCCATCTAGTCCGTATCCCGGGTACTAACCATTTGCGATCAGCGCCACCTTATGGACATAAAGTGTCACAAAAATAAATTCAAAGCAGAGATATGAATCTATCTTAGTATACCTATACTGCTCCTTGGCTAAAATGACAGATTTATCTAAGAAATTCAAGACTCTTTTAAGTATACATTATCCGCTCTAATACACAAATACGTAAGAGCAATATTATGTAGGTCTGTAGTTGTTTCAATCGAGCTTTGATCCTTTTTATATGTGGAGGTTTCCTTATTCTGTAGAGGTTTTCTTATTGGCAATTTTAGTTTCTCAGAAAAAAACCTTGTTCTAGAGAAAGATGAAGTACGTACATATGCTAAAGGTTACAGCGATATACCTAGCTACAGTTTTCAACAAGATTGAATTAACATCGTCGTCTCCTACGAACGAATTAATTGTATTAAAAACTTCATTTGAATTCGTGGGAGTTAAAAAATATACTACTTGAATTAGTTGCCACATTATATAAGCTAATTTGTGTGTTATTCACTATATCTAAGAAGAAATCATTAAATAAATTGTCTGTCTCCGACCCTGTGGATACTAGGCTATCACCATCGATAATCTTCTTAATACATTCTGCACTAGTATCAATTTTACCTACATGACATTTAACTATACCACATGCGGCTTTGCCTTTATTTTTAGAATTAGCAATGTACTTAAGATTGCTACGATAATTAGCAACAAATTTCCTTAGTAATTTCGAGTATTATAAATAACTTAGTTGATTAACTTTGTTTAATAATAATAATTAAGATAATAATGGATTTTGTACCCTTTGATATGTATGTTAATTTACGTCTGAAGCTATTATTATTCAAATTAATGAAAAAAGAGCTTATAAAATAATATCAACTCGCTGTGAATCGCGACAGATTTTAAAACAAATTCATGCTACTAATGCCATCAGCAAATTTAGCAAAATTACTTTGACTAAGGTCATATGTTGCTGTGAAATAGTGCAAAGCTATACATATATTTTCTTGTGGTTTGATCAGAAAATCTCATAATGATTAACAGTTTGCTCAGTCTTCTATAAAAATTAAGCAATGCTCCAGTTTAGTGTAGTTTAAGTTTCAAGTTACAAAGTAATTGTTTAATTCCACAGTTCGTTGACATAAAGTGGCAAATATTAGAACATGGAAATGTATTCTGAGCTATAGATAATATGGTGTTTACTCTATTACTACTTGTAATCGAATTGTTCGGACGAGAATTAACGATTTTCTTTTGTTGCAATTTCGAAGATGTAGATGCTTGTATACTTTTTAGAGATTTCCTTACAACCTGATAGTTTATCAAAGATCTCTCACTGCCTATACTTAAAATTGATGTGCGCTTTGACTGAGTATTCCATAACCGGAGAAAGACAACTGGTTTTCAGGTGAAAATCACTTTTTCTTGGGGTTAAATATTTTTTGGGGCAAATATATTTGTATATTGTTCTGGTTCCTTATATGAATCTCTGTCTGTCTATATATTATTATCTCCTTATATTACAATCTCAGCTGCACTGCTTGTTTAATTGTTTTCTTACATCGCTGCTTTAATATTAGCTACTTATATAATGAAATTTGAGTTTCACTTTATTATTTTTAATGTTGCACCAACACCACTGAATTATCTAGGTAAATAAGAGTTGTGCTTATATCCGTCCGTTATAGTCACTTTGCTAACAATATTAGTTTACAATTTCAACTGTGTACGGTATAGTATTTAAAAAAACTAAGGAGTACTTTTTCGCGTCTTTGCTAGATAGCGCCATCTAGCGGCCTCCCTTATAGAATATTTAGTATTACCCTCAGAGCTTTGGTTTTGAATCTTTCGAGTATGTCAATATTGCTATTGCTTACAATTCCCCACAATTTGATCCCGTTAGTCCATATTGGCTTCAGGATAGATTTATAATCATTAGATTTTTAAACAGTTTGCTGCTCTCGCCAAGTTGCGGCTGTCTTCCAAATGTCCAATATATGCTGTGTTTTCGGCATGTTAAGCTTCTGTCCAAATGCATTTTCAGGTATTTAGCGTGATCCTCCTGGGAAATTTGCTCTTTAAATAACTTGAGTGGTGGGCACATATTTCTTGGCCTTTATTCTCGATATTTCAAAGTAATATTTTAAGTTGACTGGATGCTGTGTCACAATTTCTGTGGGTGGACACTACTGTTGTGTGATCTGCATACGTTGCTACTATGGTCTTGTCCATTGGGGGAAGGTCAGAAGTAAATATAGTATACAGAGTGGGTCCAAGGATACTACCCTGCGGTACTCCTGAGTTTATCCCTCAGAAGTCTCGTCAGCAGTTTTTAAATCATCAAATGAAGTAAACCTTTTTAGTGAATGTGGAAGTAAATGTCTTTTTAATTTTATATAGTAAACCGTGATAGAAAATAAAATATGGCATATTTATCGAATGCTTGACTTGTATCCAAAAATATAGCTGAATAAAACTCTTGTTTCTTCAGTGATGTACCTATGACATCGACTATTCGGTGCACTAGTTTAATTGTTTTGTGGTCCTCTCTGAAGCCAAATTGATGACTTGGTATGATATTTTCAAGGTATTTCTTCATCCTGTTCAAGATGATTCTTTCGAACAGCTCCGCTATTACCAATACATTATAGGGCTGTATGGCGTTTTCTTGGTTTGAGTATAATGATTATTTGTGCTATCTTCCATTACCCGGGGAAATGAGACAATCGTTAGCATAAAAAATTTTTACTATTGCCATAATGCCTTTTTTGGTGAGGTTTTTTAGGAGCGATCGTAGCCCGTATTGACTTCTCAAGATATTTTGTTATTTAAGTGCTTTGGTCTGGAATTTTCTCCGGAAAAAGCTTGAAAACTGTGCTTAGATATTCAGCAAAGGTAGCTGCTTGATCTTGCCCAATTTTCGTGAAACTTGTTGATACCTGGTTGATTCCTTTTTAAGCAGGTAAAGATTTATCCCACTAATATAATAAATATGAAGGTTTGTGAGAATATATGGATGTATGTTTGTTATTCTTTCACGCAAAAACGGATGGCCCGGAGTGGTTGAAATTTTGTATGTAAAAAAATCTAGAGGATCACATTTCCTACCTGACTACTCTGAAAGTTAAAGGTAACGTAATCAACTAACACACCCCTTTTCACTTCACAAATACAAAAAAAAAGATCCTATAAAAATGTTCAAATAGGTAAAGATACTTAACAAACTGTACATTCCTGTCGTAATTTTATAATTTCTAATGACAGTCATAAAATATTTGGTAATTCGCTAGCATTTAATAGTATATTCTAGGTACTTACACTAATTCAACAGCTCCGCAGGCGTTTCTGAACTCTGGATTCTCTCCGAGGTACAACTCCGGTAAGTGTAGCTCGTCGGAGGGCGCATCGTGCTTCAATTTTACTATTTTCTCTTCCAGCAAACGGTACGATTTGTCGAATTCCGCTGTGAACAATAACAAATATTAGAATAGTGTTTTGGTATTGTTTTTTATGTTGGTCGTCAACTCCTCACTTTTTGCCAAGTTGTCCGATTGCGCATAAATTGATCTGTTTGTTCGTTTGCCACCCTATGAAAAACCGGCTTGAAATATTTCTGGGTTTGTGTTTTGCCGGAAGAGGGAGATAAGCGGAGAGTTCCAGAGGTTACCCGACGTCCCAAAAAATGCTGGAATGAAAAGCCCATACGTAACCGCAGCCAGTATCCAGCCACTACCAAACGTACCGAATACCTTAAGATAGACAAACCATTGGACATTATTGCGATCTGTTGAGAACAAAAATTTGTTTGTTTTTTTTTATTCGGTATCTAGGTCAATCTATCTTAACTTCTTTAGTAGTCTGACAGTGCTGGGATGCCAACATGGGCCGATTGCGTACCACCAGGTGACCCAATTACTACCTCTGGAATAAAAATCTCGGTTTTAATTAGGTTTAATTATTCACCTTTAGAAATGCCCTTGAGTTTTATCCTCTCATTGTGCCTAACTGCCTGTTTCATAGCTTCGATGCAGTTTTGTCTTTGGCCCATTTCTAGGAAGCACTCAGCGCGGCGCAGGTACAGTTTGTGTTGGAGATCTGGCGGGTATTGGTGGTTCAGAGCGCGTTGGACATCTCTCAAACTCTCCTGCGTGGAGGACCATTACTTTAGTAAACATTAAAACAAAATAATAACTACGAGGCTATGCCTTTTAGTTATCAGTACCAGTTAAAAACATTAACGAAGCACTTTGATCATAGTGACCATAGTGACCAATCGATAATGATGACGTACCTTATAGCGTCTGAGTCGAAGGGATGCAGCGGATCGATTAGCTAGGGCCACTGAGTACAAAGGCCCATCTTTTCTAGCAAAGAGCACACTCTTAGTGTACAACTTCTGGCTCTCTTCAAACATTTCCGCTCTGAACTTAATGTTTCCTCGCTGCCTCCACAACAATGCCATCTCATCATTCTTCCTGGCCGTGTCATCTTCAGACATTTGCTTGTCATAGCTCAACTTCATCTGGTTGATCCATTCCGTGAAGATGTGCCTGTCAACAATTAAAAATTATCCATGTAAATGAAGCCCGTTTTTGCAAAATAATTTTATTTCATTGGCTTCTCTGGATGAAGAATTCAAGAAATTCCATCGTAGCTAGCATTTGTCACTGATGATGATACATTATACTTATTTATATTTTAAAGCACACATGATAGACGAAAGTACATAAGGCGCCAGTAAATTATATTGTTTAATGGGATATCAGCGAGACTAGGCTAGCATGAAGATATAGTAAAGTTTAATTAAAATTAAGACGAAGAAATTTATTATCTTTCGCAGGGTACTTTGAGAGAGTCTATTTTTAGTACATATTTTTTATCTTAGATAGGTTTTATTCTTTTTTTTATGTCCATTAATCATCGATTGTGCAAGTCCCTATGCTGACACATGAACTGTGACCAGGTGTACCAGGTTGCACATGTGTAGATGCGCATGATCACACTGTCTTACTCTTATAGGATGTGCATGTGTATAAAGTGACATAAAATAATATTTATGATAGTGTGTGAGTGTATTCGTAAATTTTCACACTATCATACTGTATAATGTGCATGTGCATAAACTGTTACATTGTAATAGGTAATATAATGTGTAGTGTACATATAGTCGATCATTATAAACATTTGATTGAGGAGCAAGTGTGCACTTGCACATTTTCATAATATATGCGCTATAACACTGTGATACTATAAGTATATTTGTATAAATTATCTTACGAAAGGGCAAAGTATTATAAGATATCCATATGCATATACCTAATCTGTCATTTAGAACTTTAACACGTTTAAATTTTATCCAGAAGTGAGTGCGCACTTGCGCATTTGCGTATGCACTATCACATTGTCATACTACAAGTGTATGTGCATGTGCACGTGAAGTCTAAACACATTAAAGGATAAACATGTGCATACACCTAATCTGTCATTATGAACTTTAACATGCTTAAACTTCATCAAAATTTGAGTGTGCATTTGCAAATGCTCATATGCACTACACGCTGTCATACTACAAGTGCATGTGCATAAACTGCCATATGAAATGGCATACTATTATAGGATAAACATGTGCATTTGCAAATGTTCATATGCACTATCACACTGTTATACTACAAGTGCATGTGCATGTGCATAAATTGCCATATGAAATGGCATACTATTAAAGGATAAACATGTGCATACACCTAATCTGTCATTATGAACTTCAACATGCTTAAATTGCATCAAGAAGTGAGTGTGCATTTGCAAATGTTCATATGCACTATCACACTGTTATACTACAAGTGCATGTGCATGTGCATAAACTGCCATATGAAATGGTATACTATTAAAGGATAAACATGTGCATACACATAATCTGTCATTATGAACTTCAACAAGCTTAAAATGCATCAAAAAGTGAGTGTGCATTTGCAAATGTTCATATGCACTATCACACTGTTATTCTACAAGTGCATGTGCATGTGCATAAACTGCCATATGAAATGGCATACTATTAAAGGATAAACATGTGCATACACCTAATCTGTCATTAAGAACTTCAACATCCTTAAATTACATCAAAAAGTGAGTGTGCATTTGCATATGTTTATATGCACTATCACACTGTCATACTACAAGTGCATGTGCATGTGTATAAACTGCCATATGATATTGGCAAATTAGCAGTATTATTGGATAAACATGTGCATACACCTAATCCTAATCTGTTATTACGAACTATAAAATGTCAAATTTTTATAAAGGAGTGAGTGTGCACTTGCAGTTGTTCACATGCGCCATCACATAGTTATAATGTGCATGTGCATGTACATAAACTGCCATATGATTTGGCATATTATTATAGGATACACATGTTACCTTAATACGGACTTTAACATATTTTAATTTTATATGCATCTGCAAATATATTATCTGTCATTAACATTATGATTTGAACGTGTTCAAATTTTATCAAAGAGGTAGTGTGCACTTGCACATTCTCATATGCACTATCACACATATTTACTACAAGTGCATGTGCATGTGCACTGTTATATGAAATGTAATATAGCTATAAAAGAAGCATGTGCATATACCATCTGTCATTACCATTATAAACATTACCATGTTTAAATTTTATCAAGTAGTTAGTGTGCACTTGCACATGTTCATATGCAATGTCACACTGTTTTCTTACCACATGTGCCTGTGCATGTGCATAAACAGTCATATAAAATGCAATACACAATGCATGTGCATACAATACCCTAACTGATCATGATTACAACATGTTCAAATTTGATCAAGGAGTTAGTATTTTCTTGCACATGTTCATATGCACTATCACACTGTCAGAGCGTAGGAGCATGTGCATATGCCATATCTAACATTATGAACTTTTACATGCACTTGCTCATGTCATATGCTCAACCACACTGTCATACTACAAGTGCATGTGCATAAATTGACACAATAGACCAAGATAAGTTAGATTTATTTTTGCATTTTGAATATTTTTTTATTTCATATGTTTCAGTGAAATGTGAAATAGTTATGAGTTGTGAACTCATAACTAGAAATTGATTAATTAGTTATTCTTCTTTACAAGGACAGTTCAGTAAGATAGTTCAGTTTAGTTCAATATTTTATTATTGGATATTTACTATCAAAAGTAGTGTTGAAAGAAAAATACAAATTCCTATTTTACAGGACATAACATCCCATACGGGAAAAGAAGTAGCAGGCAAACAGCAAGCTTAGATTTATTTTTCGCATTTTGGCCTTGTCCAAGACAAAAAATTATAAAAGTCTAAAGGTTTATTAAATTTTCAACTGCTAAAATTATTACAAATGCTAATGCCAAGATCATATAATATTGCAAAATTCTAGTTTTTAATAGGCATGAGAATTTGAATTTTATAAGAAAAGATGTGAGCTTAAAACTAGTAGTTAGTTACTTAATGTTTTTTTCCCACATGGACTAAATCAGTTACAGGTATTTCATTTTTAGAAATTTACTATCACTTCTAGTTTGGAAAATTATTAATTTTACAAACATTTTAAATTATAAGTCCCTTATCGGAGAAGACAAGTTTAAATATTTTTATGCAGTTTGGACAAATCCAAGACGTGTGTGAATTTTTTGAAAAGAAGCAAATGTATAATATTTAATTACTTAAAAAGTTTTGCCTTCTTTAGTTGTTACAAGATGAAATTCAAATTGAAATTATTAATAATGTTATCGAGTTAAGGTTTTAAGCTGAGCGCTGATGAATTAATTTATGAGTTGAATCTTTTCTATGAGACAGTCTCATATATATTCAGTAAAATAACATTTTGTCCAAACAGATGTCTGTTATTTATACAATCTGAGATCAAGAAGACTTAGTTGTACACATGAGACACAAGACCTCAAATATACCAAAAGATAATCGCTAGCAGAATTATTTAAATAAAAAGGGAAATTTAATATTTCTCAATTCACTTAAAAAAATATGAGTTGAAACAGCCAATGTACTAACAGTTGGGAGTCGAACCCAGACTATAATAATAAAATAAATTCGCTTGCACAATTTATCAGTATTCATTAAATAATAATAACTCCAGCCAATAAACATAATAATAAATATACACAGTAGATAAACAAACTTTCGCCATAAGAACTTCAGATGTTTGCAGAAGCAACAGATTATTTCTTCGCAGCGGGACAGTGGTCATCAGCAACAGGCAGCATCCTCCTCTTAAACTAACTTATGCACTATTTAGGTAGTCTAGATCCCAGATGACCTGCGCGAGCTGCTATCGATCGCCTCCAGAGTAATTGCGTTGAAGATAAATAATATAAAAATGTACGTACCTTATTCCCTTGTGGTTGTAAAAGTAAGCTAGGGCCTCTATTGCACCATCTGGTCTGCGGTCTATCTTCTTTTCTTCGAAGGCGATGATACACAGAAGAACTTCCCATTGTTTCGCAGGATCTTCTGGCAAGCCATCGCGCTCCATTATAGATCAGGTTTTTATAATATTTGCAAGCCGATAATAGTACATCCCTGAGGACATCTTCAGTCACAGCACTAAGTTGATAATGGACTTAGAAAAATCAGCCACTGGGAGCTCACGGGAGCTACGGGAGCCAACGACCGGCTGGCTGGCGCGCCCGATGAGGACTGAGGCTTCGAAGGCCCGGCTGCGAGGATCTGCAGTCAGCTGTATTGGGTATATCTATACACAAATATTGATTTGACGGCTGCGCGATACAGGGCCGTTCCGTTCTACGCATAGGTTATTCGTAGTACGCATGCTCGGCCGGGTCTGCAGAGGCGTGTCCAGGTCATAGAGAGGACGCTATCCTATAAGTAGAGCACAGAAAATATATACTAGAATGTTCTACCACCCACCACCCTACCGCCACACCCAACAAGGCATTATAAGATATTTTACAATAATTTCTGTCGTTCTATGTAAAATTCTTCTTCGTCTATATTTTGACAGCAAAAGAAAAACAAAAGTAGTGGTTAACGAAACGTTGCGTCAAAATCAAAACATGGCAATGTGTATTGTGCTTATGTCAAAATATGGATAACTTGAGGGAAAAGTCTTCGCCGCTATTTGACGTTAGAAAACGCGGGTAAATTAAAAATTACTATCACGTTTTTAAATACAACAAGTACATAACACACAAAAATCTTTCTGATGATTAGTTAAAAAATAAATATAAGTAAAAATATACAATAAGTAATCATTTTAATAAACACATTACCTATCTACAGAATCTGAAGAAGCAAAAATTTTATGATGAAATCAAACTAGAGAAACAAAACCTATCTGAAAGTTATTACAAAAATAAATTATTTATCAAATAGAATTTTGGTGTTACCTAAGCAGGTACCACTACTTATAAAAAAACACTGCGTAGAATCTCCAAAACCAAGAAAATACTAAGTATGAGAATTTTTGTACTCTCAAGACGATAACAGATGGCGTTGCTGTCGCTCCTTAAAAATTTAAACACAATTGTTAATTTAGAAAATCTCTTAAAACAAACCGTTTACTTAACTCAAATTATACAACATGATTCGAAATCACTAGTGGTAATTGCTATTTATTATTTAAATATTGTAAATTCGATATTAATTGTGTTGGTTGTTACAATTATCTATATTGGGAGTAATGAAACAGCCATAAATAAATTCCCGTTGGAGTAAAAGCACAAAAATCATTTCATTTACTATACTGTCATAGAAACCAGGAAAGACTGAGGGAAGAGACTGGAAATCTGAATAAATATTAGTAATTTTCTTATAACGTGGAATAGGTCTCCATCCACATGCTGTATGATCTCCTTTGTTCTCTGAAAAGTGGGGGTTCCAATTTAGGGTGGAACGTTCTAGAAGGGGGTTGCAACTGCACCTCTCGGTCATTTCCTCACCCTCTTTGGCACCACCGCGACCCGCATGCGCCAGCCCACGCACTCCGCGCCCACGCGCCCCAGCAGCATCGATCCACTCAAATACATGTTGCACCATATTTTCTTTGTTCAACTATGCCCCCTCCCGCACTCCCGGCTCTCTACCCTTCTGCTCTCTACTGCCACCGCCCTGACGTTTTTACCTACCGTTTGTCTTAATTGGAAGCTTTTAGCAATCTCTTCTTCGAGCAAAGACGAATCCGTATATTGGTGGTATGCATCTGAGTAAAGGAACATTCAGACTTTTTGTACAGCTGGAGTAGACCTTGGGGTACCTGAGTCAGTTTTCTTTCTGAAGAGAAGGATCCGTGAGATAATTGACACTCTTAAATTATATAATTATTTTTGCTGTAGCTTGCGAATTAGGTATCTACTACCTGAACCCTGGAAGTACTAGCTCCCCTTTGTTCTGTGTAAGAGGGTATGTTAATGTTACAGAGCGCCACCTACGTAAGTACCCGACTTTCATATAAAGTTTTACAGTAGGTATATATGCTAGTTATAAATACTATAAACCTGGCATTTTGGATGATTTTTCTCCTATAATATATGTAGGTGGTATAATCTTTGCTCGGGCGCAGTTCCCCGCAGGACACATGCGCCGGCGCCGTCACACCGTCCGGTTGCCACGCCTCTATCATGAATGTCCCATCGGTCTATCCCTATGCAGCCAGCACCTGAACACTACATAACTGTGGGTGTGCTCCTTTTATCCTTTTAGGTGTTGGTATTCGCATGAATATTATTATATTATTATATTATAGGAAAGGAGTCGACTTGTCACCCGGCACTAGAAGACATTGGGCTTTCTGTAACTTCTAAAATCTAAATAGTATTTTTCCTACTTAATTCGGCAGCGGCTTGCTCAAAGACGCCTATTTTTTGGAGGAGAAATCAGCTAATGATATGGATTGTCAAGACTCTTACTGATAAAAAAACACACCACAGCCTGTTCTTCTTTGGCATATGAAAAGATCTAAATCAGTTGTGTATGAAGCCGAATGCTTACGTAAAATTTAGGTAGAGAATACTTTTGGAATGAATACCAAACGAGTCGGCCCTAGATATATGTTCATTTAATTGATAAACGAAACTAAGGAGTATAAGTAGAAGGCAGCGCTTGCAATCTTCCCGGAAAATTCTAATCCAATCAGAGAAAAGTAAGGTGAATGACTACCGAACACTATGTAGGTGGTCTAGATGTTTATGCGGGAACACGCTCGTCTGAGCTAGAACAAATGAAAACGAGGACCAAGCCAGCAATTTTACCGTATAAATATGCCGTAGCAGTTAATATTCTTACTCAACAAGACGATTTCTTTAGAGACTACCTACCAACAAGTAAATACCACTATTGTTTGTTTTCGTAACATTCACTACACGCTGTCAACGTAAATTTTGCCATGGAAATGAAACTATCAATTTTGTAGGTGTATATTACTTTAACTATCATTTACTGGGCTCAAAATTATTCTCATACTAGTTTTTTCAAAAAAAAAAGAACACAGGATTGAATGTCAGTAAATTTGCGGCTTCTAGGCACAAGTTTAGCTGTCTCATCGCCTTTTGAGGCGGCTAGGGCTTAAGAAGAATCAGAAAAATGATCATCACAGGCTTTACCTTCTTCTTTGCCAGCATAACTGCTTCGCAAAAGAAGTAAACGGCTTCCCAATTCCTTCCAAGTCCTCGCTCTGCAACATGGCATAGGCAGACCCACCGCCACAGAATGCTCTACCGTGTCCTTCGGGTGGTACCAGTAAGGACGTAAAGGACGTGGACGGGACGGCATGCCACTATGTTTTAAATAACATGTTTTAAATGAAATAATCAAAAATACCAGATGTCGCAAGCATATTTGTGCCGTTTGGTAGCGCTCTGCAGTATTTACATACCCTCTTAAACTTTGAACAAAACTACCTACCTAGCTAGATTATGTATCTGCATTTAAATTTTTTATTTGAGTTTTTGTTAAAATTCGCAAGCTGCTGATGTAGAATCGAGTAGAAGGCTAATTATTAAACACAAGCTCTATTTGAAAAATTTTTATATGTCTTTCGCAACAGAAATACTCAACTCATTTATCCCAAGGTCTTCTCTTCCCGAAAAGTTGCTAAGATTCTTTCTTTATTATATCCATGCAGACTCCCACACGTCTTTGTTTGGAGAAGGTTCTAGCTTCCAATTGAGGAACAAGAACGTAACACGTTCACGCGGAGGCAGGAAAAAGCAAAGGAGACAGACTCGCGCATGCGTCCCGCGGTTGTGCCCCGGTGTGCCGTAATGTACCTAGCTGTCGAAAAGTACGTAGATGGCGTGGTTGAGCGCAAAGCTAGCGCTCAGAAAACGGCTACATTTTTCTATTAATTAAATGTGGGAATGAAAGTGGCATAATATGAAACTATTGACATAATATCGTATCTACGAAGGGTCTTTCTTCGCTTGTTGAGATGTCTTTGCTATAGAAAAAATATTCTAAACTAAAAATATATGGGGTCGGTCTACCCGCTTACGTTGGTCGCTACCATGATGGGAAATTGGGATCCCTAAACTCTTACCTATGTATCATAAAGTTAGAAATATAACTGAAACTATAGACACACAAAAGTTACCTACATACCGTATGCGCGACTGTTGCAACTGTTTGTCTGTATCAATAAACGTAGCTTGAAGAACATCATACATAATTTATATCATAAGTAGGTATCCATAATAACAAATGGTACGTAGGTATTCAGATATCATTTTAACCCTTGAGTGTGGGAGAGCCATGCTTCGCCACGAATTGATCGGCTCGGCCGGAGTGATACCACGGCCTCACAGAAAACCGGCGTGAAACTACCACAACGTTGTGTTTCGCCGTGTGAGTGAGGTTACCGGAGGCCCAATCCTTCCCCTACCCCAATGCCTTCCCAATCCCAAAATCCCAATCCTTAAAAGGTCGGCAACGCACTCGTAACTCCTTCTTTGTTGCGGGTGTCCATGGGCGACGCCAATTGCTTACCATCAGGTAATCCGTCTGCTCGTTTGCCGGCTTGGACTTTACTGAATAGCAAGTCGCATATGCATAAAGCACATTTCAGATTATTGGTGGTAAATTCCCAATAAGTCGTTATAAAAAATGTTTAGAAAGTGAGAAGCCCTTTTTAAAATTTTATGGTCTTGGAGCTACTTAAGCCGCTTATGGATACCATGCACCAAAACGGACCCATCCCATAATAAGGATAAGGGAAAGTGCTTCTTGCATTCCAACACCTCAAATCACGATAGGAAACTACACCACAACCAACTTTATTCAACAGTCAGTTTTAGCCATTATGCACTTTAAGTCATAGCAATAAAGATCGATATCACAGCATAAATAAGTTAGAACATGTGAATTTGGAAGTCAATAAAATGAACTTTATTGCACTTATAATAAAGGATTAAACGTAAAATGCAGCGAGTCCGTTCAGGTATCGAGGGTAGCTAAAGGATTGTTCAGATAATTTAAGCTAAAATGAACCGTATGGCCTTTGTTTAAGGAGTGTGTAAAACGTAAATGTATATTTGTTGGGTCCATGCCAGAACAGTTTATGGTCCCTAATGGTTTGATGAACTGTTGTCAGCCTTTTACGCTTTGGCTATAGCTAGCTTTGCAGTCTGGCTTTTCTTGATATAGCCATTGTTACCTTTGAAGTTTATTTATTATTTGATGTACAAAAATAATTTTCCAATAGCTAACGAAGGCTTCGGTCGTGCGCATATTAAGTATGAATGCATACGATT